GCCTGGGGCAGGGGGCAGCACGGCGGGGGGGGGGGGGGCTTCTGGAGTCCCGGCCCCCCTGGCGGCACCTGGGTGTGGGGCCGAGAGTTGGGCCGGTTGGGCCGCTGGCCTGCTCCGGCGTGGCTTCTCCCGGGACTGGCTCCTGGGGGTCGAGGGAAGGGCCCTTTCGAGGGGAAAGCCCGCAGTCGCCCCCCGTTAGCGGACCTGGGGATGCTTGGGGGCATTCGAGGCCTGGACTCACCCGTAGCACCAAGAGGGGGGCCGCAACGCCCGGTCCCAGGGTTGCTTCCGAAGAGGGCAGGCCAAGAGCTGGGCGGATGCTCTGGCCGCCTGGGGTGGAGGGCAGAGCGGCTTCTGGGAAGGGGGGATGCGTTCCCAGCCCTCTGCGCGTGAACAAGCCCCGCTTCTCTTATCGCCAGCCTCAGCGGAGTCCACGCGTGTCCTTCCACCCGGCCAGACCCTTTTGTGGCCGGCCTCTTGGCAAATGGGTTGCTTTGGGGCTTGTGTCAGCCTGCTGGGGCTGGCTGCAGAGCCTCTCCGGGCACTCGGCCACGGAGGCATGGGAGGAGGATGTTGTAACCGGGCCTTTGTCTCTTCCTGTTTCAAGTTCGGGGGCACGCCCTGCGGCCGATCCAAGCGGAGGGAGTCCCTCCCTTCTGGGCTGCTTTGACCACCGCCCAGAGTCCCAGCCAGGCAGACCAGGAGGTATTTGCGCAGATGGCGAGCAGATTAAGGAGCTGCCCCGTCCAGCTGACCTCCTCTCTTGGAAATGGCTCCTGGAGGTGGATGCCTAAAGCTGCAGTCTGGGGCTAGTGACAGGGGAGGCCTTGTCTGGAGTGCTCTGTGGGGCCCCCTCCTGTCAGCACCCGAGCCCTCCTTGAGGAAGGTGTTTTCCTTCACAGCAAGCAGGCCTTCTGGGGGAAGGGGGCTGGCCTACATTGAGGGCGGCGGGGGGGGGGCGCACCTTCACCTAGGGGTGCAGCTTGAATGGCCCATGTTGGTTCCTTAGATGAGAGAAGACAGCCAGGGTGGGGTGATTTTTGGTTCCAGATGAATTTTGAAGTTGCAAAAATGGGACTTGGGAGGGGAGAGAGAACTTTCTGAGGAAACGCAGTCTCTTGACATGGTCAGTGGAATGCTTCTCAAGGCAAAGCTGTAAAGTGTATTTATTTCCTTTGTTTACATCCCCAGTGAGGACCCAAAGCTGTTCACGGCACTCTCTTCACCTTCGTTTTATCCTCACCACAACCCCCTGGCCCCGAGGTCACACTGCCCGCTTATTCCAGGGCAGAGTGGGGACTTGAACCTGGGTCCCTGGGATCCCAGTCTGGTACTCTGACCTCTGTGCCACCCTGCGAGTTCGGAGGAGGGCTGGGCTGTAGACAGGCAATTTTGCTGCAGCCAAAATAAACTTCAGGGTACTTTTAACTCGCTTTTCTCCACTCTGTTAGGGACAGAAGGCAGTTTACAATATTACCACTCCCCAACACACAGAAACAATAAAGATCCATTTTTTTAAAAAATGGTAATCTACAAACTAACGTGTGGGGAGGGGGCAGAGCAGATGTTGGCAGCCCTGCCTTGGATGGCCACAGCCTCCCTCCCCAGGCAGGCAGGCAGGCAGGCAGGCAGGCAGGTGCTGAGATGCACTCAAGGCAACATACTGAGACGGCAGTCCTGTTTCCTCGCCTTGTGAAAGCCCCTTCCCTTCCACTGTTTTTTGTGTTAATGTAACAAAGCAAGATGCAGATGGCCAGATTTCTCAAATGCTAATCTGTGTCATGTGATGTTAAATAATAGCACATAATCAAGAATTCAAGTGGCCCAACATTCCTTTCAAGGCTCCAGGCACCCAGGGATCTGCCGGTGGGCAGCCATATCTCTCGGCTCACACTGTGTACACCGAAGGTTACTACGGCTTAAGCTGGTTCACACAAGAAGCTGGATTTCTCTCCACTTAATCGGTGGCTGCTGAATGTGTGAATGGGCTCCACAGAAAAGCATTGGGTTTGTACAGATTCAGAAGTACTCTTTGGAATGGTCGATCTGTGATGGTCTACTGGTGCATGCTGTGGACATAAAGCAACGTGCATGCATGTGTGAACCAGCCCTCCTTTCTGTTCAGAAGGTAGACTTCAGTGCTTCGGGTTGTACTGGCTACTGGGAGAAGTCCAGCATTGCTGAGGACAGAAGAGGCTTGTAGAGAAATTTTTTATTTACTTCCTTCCTTTCTCCCCAGTTGGGGACCAAAGCAGCTGACATCGTTCTCTTCTCCAGTTTATCCTCACAATAACCCTGTGAGGTTGGGTTAAGTGAGAGTAGGTGGCTGGCCAAGGGTCCCGCAGCCAGCTTCCAAGCCACCAAGTGGTGGTTCCTTGGCTCCCCGTCTGACACTCTTGCAAGGGGTTTGTTGGCCTGAAGCTGCTAAATCAGTCGCCCTTTGCCTTTCTTAGCTTC